CTAGTTTTGAGATCTTTCCAGGCATCTTGAGTCTGAACTGTAATGGTATCGGCAATAGAGGATCTTGCCTGTATGAATCCGAATGTTTGTTGATTTCTTTCGTAGGAGCATCTCATACGCCATGCAGCCATGAGGATTGGCAGTCTGGTGTATTGGAACAGGTTAAGCATAAACTGCGTCCAATTCGCTCCTTCCGGTGGCAGTTCTGCAAACAGGAGTGCCTTTATGCTCCATGGTAGATGTTGGCCCGTGAAGTAGTGCCAAGCTGCATCCCACCAGCGCCAGAGTCGGGCTGCCATGGGGCAGTCCAGAAAACAGTGTTCTAGGGTGGCCCTTTTCTTAGGTGGAATCATTTCACAGTAGGTACATAGTGGCGAAAGCTGACCATTTTGTTCCAGGTTGGTCCAGCCCTAAGGCTGCGGTATAGTAGGCTTCGGCGTCTATGTCAGGGTGTCGCATTTTTGGCGGCGGGCGACCAGGACGCAAAGTGGGTTCTTAGGGGGCAAAACAAATTGGGGGACCGGTCCTTAGCAAAATTGCGGACTACCTACAGCTAGCTTTGGTAGAACCGGGACTTTTGGAAAAAGGAAGAACTGGTCCTCGGGTGGAAGTGGACCCCAAAAAGAAGTGAGGGCATGTGAACTGCAAAAGGGCCATCTGGCGCAGGCATTGAGGCCCGTCTTCTCAAAACAGGGAGGTCAGGCGCAACGAAACAGGCGTTTTGCAAGAGGCAACTTTGGCGACTTTCTGTGCTCGGAGGAACCCGCAGAAAAATCTGAAATTTTGAGAATCCATAGATGAGGGTGTGTTCTTTCCAGGAAAAATACTAGAACATTTTCAAAAAATCATTTAGGCTGCGAAATAATCGTCGAACCTATTCCGCACTCTCGAAATGTGCAAGACGAGAGTGAATCTTCCGCTAGAATATGGAAAGATACACGGCCATGATTCTTGTTTTTTGTGCATGTCGAGAGTAGTGCAGAGAGGCCCTCGCCATGTGTAGGCCAACTGAAAAAGTACTCCAAATTCAGTGAGTTTTCATGCTCAGAAGAATGCGTGAAAAACCTGAAAATTGGAGTAAGAAAAAAGAAACAGAAGGGCCGGTAGGCCCCGTTTGAACGAGTTCAAATCCCCACTCGTCTGGGCCGTCGATCCTCAAGATCGACGGCCCAGATGGGCGGAATTTGAAATCGTTCAAATGGGGCCTATCGGCCCTTTTTTTTTTGTGTGTTGGATCTTGTTTCCCGCCAACGAAGTCGACGCCAGTGTTCGTTGTCGCCGTGAGTGTGCGAAGCCCCCGTTCGTCGTCGAAGCCCCACCCACCTACGCCGCCCGACGCCGCCCGAAGCCCCCGTTCGTCGTTGAAGCCCCCGTTCGTCGTCGAAGCCCCCGTTCGTCGTCGAAGCCCCCGTTCGTCGTCGAAGCCCCCACCCG